GTTGATGACCATGACTATGACTGTGATTCATAGTTCAGTGAGGTTAGGTTGATGAATGAAAAAAAATTTTTTTGACAGTTAATTTAATCATCATCATCATCATTTCCATAATATGCTTTGCATGTTTTATTTTATGATGATAATGATGATTATTGTCAAATCGATAACAGCTGCTGTCAAATGTTTGTCATTAAGATTTTAAAGACTTTTTCAACCAAACAGAAATATAGAAAATCTTATAATTAGCGTAAAACCATAAAGTTGAAGAAAAATTAACCAAAAACTCACTAGAAGACCACCATCATTCATTGAATTGTTTTTTCATTTAGGAATTTCAGTTGTGACTCATCATTATCATCACCGTAGGACATATGAAATCAATTAGAATCAATCAATCAATAGCTAAAATAGCCAAGAAGCAAGCAAAAAAAAACAAATGACTAATGCTGTGCATGTGTTTAAGGGAATTCATCATTTGGCTTTTGAAAGCAAATTATCATTACACATACCCTATCTGTTGTTTGATTGGAAAAATGTTTGTTTGACCTGCCTCAGCGGTAGCTTGACAATAAAAATATTTTCTTTCTATATCGTCAAACAACCTAAAGACCACCAGGATTTGAAAGTTTTTTTTTTCTTTGAATGAATGACATTGACAGCTTTATTCGATTCGATTTCCCTCTATCTCTCTCTCTTCCCTCTCTCTATCCGGATGATGATAATTATACCTGTCATTATCAAATATTTTTTATCAATTAATTTATTTGTAGTTTTTGTAATTTGCTACGAATCTGTTAAAATCTAGATTAGGTAATACAGATTTTGTCTTGTTTGGTCAAAAGAAAAATCAATTAGTTACAAACAAACTTCTTCTTCTTCTTATAATAATGTTTGATAATTTAAAAGTTAGAAAAAGTATTTTTCTTCTCTCAATTTTGCATACAGAGATGACCATCATTAATGATAAAGATGACCATCATCATCATCATCATTATTGAATTGATGATTGATGTTTTGGATCATCAAATTGTTTGCTTGTTTTGATTTTTTTCTTCAATTTTTCAAGGTGTCAAAATCCAAAAATCCAAACATAACACACACTTGGATAGAGGTCATCATCATCAGTCAAGGATTATTTATTTTCATCTTTTTTCATTCGACGATTTTGATGTTTTACAGCAAAACAAAACACACTTGACATGTTGACTATGTGTTATGCAATTACAAAATGATGATCATCTTTGGTCATCACAAACAGAAACAATGTTATTATATATTGGACAAAGTTGTTCTGGAACTTTGAGACCAATTGACTAAATAGATGTTTTTTGTTTTTTTAAAAACAAAAGTTTCAACTTGAAAATGTCTTTATCATCATTTTCATTATCATTATTGAACGATTGCGTGTTTACCTGAAAAAAATCCTCATTATCATCCAACGATCGATCGATTGCCATTGTTGATTTGATAATGTTTTATTCGTTTTTGTCAAAATCCATTCATTTATTGACAAAGTTTTGCAATTAAATTTTGTTTTTGTTGTTTGAATTTGATTAACAAACAAATCTCGTTGATTGATTGATTCACCTTTAGTTTATTAATAAGAATTACATTGTTGTTGTTTACATATGGGAAAAATCATTTCTGTTTCGCTTGTTATCATCATTATCAATATTGGATATTTGAATTGAAAAAAAAACTTGTTTGAATGTTTTGGCTGTGTGTGCTCTGGTCATTGATAACCTCTGATTGATTTTGGTTTGAATTGATAAAAAACAAATATTTGTTTTTTCTGTTTTTGGTTTTTGGTCTGGGGAAAAACCACACACTAATCAATGATAATCGATACAATATGAATTTGATTGACAAATTTATTTTTGGAAAAAAGTCACATGTTAGTTTTTGGTCGTCTTTGAAAAAAGATTATTGCTTGCTACACCAAAGGGGTAATGGTAATTTGATATTTTCAATGATGATGATGATTGGTTTTTTCCTTCAATAATCAAAAATTGTTATTTAACTGGAAAATGATGAAAATGTTTTTCGAGGGAAAAAAAATATTAATATTTTGTAAACAGAAAAACCAAAAACTTTGATGATGATTCATCCATCATTCTTCACTGTGTGTTCTTCCGTATTCGCTCTATGTGAATTGGATTTATGTTTGGTGTGTGTGTGAATCACCAGTCAAAAAATCCAGACCAAGGATCATCATCATCATTTGGTAATCAATTTTATCAATCAATTTGCTTTTTGTTTTGCCAAGTCTAACTGTTTTTTTCCAAGCAAACAAATCTGGTGAATGAATCATTCTTGTGATTTTCTTCTCTGGATGCTCTGGATTCTCAAGAAAAACTTCAATAGATAAAATCTTTTAAATGTTTTTGGAAACCAGAAATTCTAGCTTTCCAGACTGGCTGTAAATCTGGTTATTTAGATCAGTTAATTTTGTTTGTTTGTATTTTTAACTTGCATTTTGTAAATATATTCTATAATTAAAGTTAATTTCAATGAATCATCATTTTGTAAAATGAAATGTTTAATTTAAACTGATGACATTTAAAAATAACCACCACCACCATCACTATCGATTGTCAAACTTTTTTTGATTTTTGTTATTCGATAATCGAAAATGAAGATATTTTTGGGTTTTTTTTCCCCCAAAAAAAATCCATTCAGGACTTTTGTTGTCTTCGAAACAAATAAATCACGTTATTCAGTCTTTTCCCTGAATTCTAATTTGTTTTCGTCCAGGAAAATCAAATGAAACACAATAAAAATGAATGAATCATCCTTAGGATGTTAATGATGAATATGATCGTATGTTTGACTAGTTTGGTTGTCTGATCATCATCATCATATGTCTATTTTTAAACTACAATTTTCGGATTTCAGTTTTTTTCGAATGATGACAGTTTTTGTTTCGGTAGCTTTGATTCGATTAGGGGGATTTTTTTCGTTGTTGTCTTTTTTTCGATTGTTTTTTTTCAGATGAAAAACCTTTATCCAAATCCAGTGTATAATGTTCGCGTGTGTGTTTCATCGATCCTCAGAATGTGTTTAGTGTATGGATCATCCACGAAAAAAACATTATCTTTTCCGTTGATGATGAAATGCAATTCAATTTTTCAGTGTTTCTTTTTGATAAAAAAAATGATCCTCTCAAATAACAGATGGTCTTGTTGAATTACAGACGACGATGATAATTGTTTGGTTGGTTTGTTTGATTGTTGTATCCTCCATTTGATTGCTGCATGTGTATCCATTCGGCTGGTGGTGTGTGTGGTTGGCCAAACTTTTAACAAAAACTGCTAGCAAGAAAACTGTTGCAATCGAAACATTTTCTTTCTTCTTCTTCTTCGTATCTCTCTCTCTGTCTCTCTTAATTCAAAATCTCTATTAGATTTGCAAATTTTCGCTTGTGTTTGAATGAGCCAAGATGATGATGATCCATGCTGCATTCAGCATAGAAAAACTGCAATGCACCCAAAACAGACGGCAGCCAATTTTTTCTTTTGAACAACAAAAACTTTGATGATCATCATCATCATCATCAAAGTTTTTCTAAATTCATTTCGGTTTCTTGGTCTCACAGTAGCTTTTCAGCAGTCTTCGTCGTTAAACTGTGTATGAGTGTTTGGGGCAAGGAAAAAAATAAAATTTTCTGTATTGAACAGGTTTTCCTTGTTGGCTGATTGTCAAAAAATAGAAAATTTTTTGTTGTTGTTGTTGTTGTAGCAGGATCTTCACAAACCAAACCAAACCAATCCGACGGCTAACGACAACCCAACGATCATCAACATTTAGCCAAAAAAAACTAGTATCGTCCAACAACATAGATATATGAAATGTTGAACAGACGTTTGTTGATCGTCGATCAATTTGAATTCAATTTTCAAAATAATCACGTTAGTTTGACGTTTGATTTTTGCTGTTCTGTTCTGTTCTGTTTGTTTCAAGATCGTGTCTATTTCAATTTCTCAAAATCAAATTTCATGAACCTTTCATCATCATTTGAATGATATATGCTCGTAATTTTGTATTTTTTTGGTTGTTGATGTTATTGTTGACATCACCATGGTTTTGTTTGTTTGTTTGTTTGTTGTTGTTCAATGATAAATCAATATGATTTTTGTTTTTTAGTTTTTTTGGTGATTTGTAATATTTTTGTTTTTTCCCTTTAAATCCTCATTCTGATTTCAACAGAATTTTAATAACATCATAAAAAATAAGTCTTTCAATTAAGTAAATGTCAATCAAATCAACCACTAAATATTTAATCCAAAAACATCCTTTATCACCCAAAAATTATCATCCAAATGTGTGTGTGTGATATGTTTTTTGTCTGTCTGTGTTAATTTTTAACGACCTTTTTTGTTTTGCTTTGTTATCTGTAGTTAATAACCGATGTGGCTAAAGATTTACAATTAGAATTACAAGATTTATCACCTGATGATGAAATATTTGAACAACCATCAGGATCAACAACAACAACAACAAATTTAATCAACAACAATCAGAAAACATCATCATTATCGATGAAATTCCATCAAAAAACTGGAATCGAAAAATCAACAACAACAACAACAACAAATCAGGATAATAATGTCATCAGAATTATTAACCAACAATCAAAACATTATCAACAATCATCATTATCATCACCATCATCACCAACAACAACAACAACAACATCTTCTGTTATCGACCAAAATATCACCATCACCACCACCAATAACATCGATACAATCGATACCATTGAAACCGATACGAATGAATCTACCTCCACCGCCGCCGCATTTGATAACAACATCATTATCATTACCGAACGGTCAATCGATCAACAACAACAACAACAATCATTCATCGTCGATAGAAACGACGATATCTTCGATGTCATCATTGTCAATGATCAACAACAACAACAACAATCACAACCACCTTCGCCACCGAGCCCATTCGCCAATCGAATCAACAACAAAGAAAGATCACCACCACCATCACCACCCGAACCATATAACGATCAAATCATCATCGATATCAACAATCGACAACAACAACAATTCGAAATTATCAACAAATCATCAACAACAACAACAACAGCCGATAATCATTATCACCAAAAACGACAACAACAACAAAATAGGTGTCGAATATCCGGAACAACAGAACAATCAACAACAACAACAAATGACTGTCAATCAAAATCAAAATCATCAACGACAACGATCATCACCAATAATAATTCATTCGAACAAAAAAATTCATTCATTAATCAAACAATTCGATTGCAATTTGAATGTAAGTATTTTCTGCAGTTTTTTAAACAAAAATAGGATTCCTTAATTTAGTTGTTTTTGAATTTGTTTTTCGTTTTTGTTTTGATTTTTTTCATTTTCATTTTCGTTTTATTTTGCTTGATTTGGATTTTGTTTTTCGTTTTTGATTTTTGATTTCGTTTTTCTGTTTTGCTTGAATTTTGTTTTCGGTTCGTTTTGTTGATATTGATGTTTGCGACTGACAATTTGATTGCAATTTTTCTGTTTCTATCCGGATTAGCTAATGCTTCAAATATTTCCTTGAATGTCGATGACGATGATGATGGTGATGATATCATTTTCGAAAACTTTACCATAAATTCATCCAATATGATTAATAATAATGGCAGTTTAGATTTGTCATCATCCAACAATGATGATGATGTTGTTGATCAAAATCAATCAATTTCATCAAATTCAATTATGATGATGATGAATCAATCGATAATAAATGATAATGAAAAGTCGATCAAACAACTAGATGATGATGAGCTTATTAGTATTAATGATGATAATCGATTGAAAATCAATAAGATTATCAGGGAAAAACAAGCAAATAACGATGATGATGGGGATTCAAGATTATCATCGAAATCAAAATCAAGAGTGCCAAAATCATCATCAAGTGCTAATGTTATTGTTGTTGTTGATACTATCGATAATACAATCGATAATCAATTAATTGATAATCGATTTAAATCGGTATCATTTTCATTATCATCACCGCCTCCATTGCCATTATCATCATCATCATCATCGAAGAAAAAATTAGTTAAACATCCGAATAACAATAAGAAGAAAAATCCACCATTGAAAAATTTATCATTTTCAAAAAGTTTTGAACAAACAAAATCTGATTATCTTAATCATCATCATCAACAGCCAACAACAACAACGAAATCATCGATTATAAATCGTTTACCAATGAATAATACATTTACAACATTTCAATCGACACCGGTAATAACAAAAAATCATTTAAATTCATCATTGAAATCACATTCATTTGATAATCCAAATCAAACATACGAACATATGAATCAATCAAAATTGAAATTGAACAATTCTTGTTGTTTATCATCGGCTACTTTAATATCATCATCAGTAAGTTGATATTTTGGTTTGCAAAAATTCATTTTTTTAAATAGCATCTTTCAGTTGATAAAAACTAATTTCTAATTCAAATAACGTCCATCATCATTCTCTGTACTCCAATAAATTATTCATCGATGATGAATTTTTGTTTTGTTTTTTGTTTTTCGTTACATAAAAATTTATTTTCTTCCATCAAAATAATGATATTTTAATAAGTTTTTTTATGTTATATTCCATGTTGAGAAAGATGAAGAAATTGAAAAAAAAAGACCAAAGAAGAAGAAGATGCTAATCATAATCATCATCTCAGTAGTTGTTGTTTTATAGTAGGAGTTACATAGGTTTCATATATCCTGTTTACATCAATGATGAATGAACGAAAAAATGATTAATGTTTTTTTTGCTATTTTCATATCATCAGTGCTTGTGAAGTGATGTTTTGTTGTTTTTTGGTTGGTTGTTTCCGTGTATTCATCATATTTTTTCCGAGTTTTCTCTTTCTTGGTTTCCGTTTTGGTCATTTCCAAAAAAGTTTTTTTCAGTTTTTTTTTGTTGTTGTTGTCATAATTCAACTTACCGGAATCATCATGTGAATTTTTTTTTTAGTTTTTTTCGGGAGAAACGTTGGCCGTTTCAGAAAAACAAAAAAAAATGTAAATGATGTTCGTACATCTCTCCCCACCAAAAATAACATCTGGAATATGTTTTTTTTTTTTTGTTTCGCAAGCAATAGTAATTCTATTTGGTTTCAATTCAATTTGAATGGGAATATTGTCTGAATGTGTGTGTGTGTGTTTTGGAACCAATTTCATTACGCAAAAAAAAATAATGTATAATTTAATATGATATGGGTCACGTCATTGCAATAATCATCATCATCATCAATGTTCATTAAGGTTTATTAGCATTTTCTTGTTGTTTTGTTTTGTTCGTTCATTTGAATCCCTTGGAACAAACGCATTTATTCAATGCAAGTCAATTGAATTTCTTTTTCTTCTTCTTCTTCCACACCACCACTACTACCACCGACAAAACAAAAAGAAGAATTTATTATCTCTCTATGCGTTTCTTTGGCTAAACAAATATATATTTTAGCAAAAGGAAAATTACTCAATTTTTTCCTATTTATCTTGCTTATTCTCATTCTTTCTCTCTCTTTCTTCTTTAGCTAATTAATTCGAATCAATTAGCTAAAGAAAATATCATTTATTTTTTGATGATAATGATAATGATTATTCCCGAAATTCTCTTTTCTGTCTGTTTGTTACACCGAAAAAAAAACATAGAGAGAATCTTTGAAGGATTATTAAACAACAACTGTGAGAATCCATTGTCTCAGTGTGCAAGAGAGTGATTTGATTAAACAAATTTTTAAATTGTTTTTTACGAAAGAAAAGGAAGAAATAGATAAAATTAAATTAATGTTAAGAACGAAATAAGGTTTCAAGAATTCTTTTCTTTTGTAAAATTGAATGGATTTTGCTTTTTTTCATTCTCATATTGTAACTTGACTGACTGACTGAAAATGATCAATGATGATGATGAGAAAAGAAAATGAAAATTTTATATTTTAAATATAAATTTCCATTCATCTTAACTATGGAATCATGTTTCATGTTTTTTTTTTGTTTCATTTTGGTTTGACATAAAATATTTCTATACTTTGGTTGGTTATTTATGTTGTTTTTTCTTGTTGCAAAGAATATTCTGCGTTTTTTTTCGTTTACTTTCATGATGTAGATTCCTAATTCATCACACACTATCTGTGTGTATGTTTAGTTTTTTTTTCCAGAATGAAATGATATTAAAAGAAAAGATTCATTAGCTTAAATGCTTTTTTCTTTTTGGATCTTTTCTTATGTCATCCTTCTTTTTCTTTTTTCTGTTCTGGTTTTGTTTGTTTTACATTTATTTTGTTTTTTGGGAAATTTCCCTGAAATGAAAATGATAAGAGATTTTCTTCTTCTTTTCTTTGGGAGAAAAATTAATTTTCTCAACATAAAATATGTAGAGTTAGGCGCGTTCAACGTTTGTTTTTTTGATCCATTTCGGTAAATTCTTAAAGAAAATCTTATCATCATCATTGTTTGGGAAGATGGATGAATCAAAACAGAAAAAAATGTCGAATATTCCAAAAAATGTAACAACTTTGATAATAGTATATCCATGCATTGATTAACTTTTTTTTTGGAAGAAAATTACTAACATTATCCCCATTGACATTAGTGAAAAGAATAAGAAAGAAAAATCTATGTCATCCAAAGAAAATATATCTTCTTTTTATTTTCTGATGTTCATTTTCATTTTCTTTTCGGTGTGTGTTCAATAATTGTAAAGAAAAGGGTTATGTGTTTGTGTGGATCATCACCATAAACCTAAAATTATATCAATACATGACCTTTATTTGTACCCGAAACAAACAAACAAACAGCACAGTGAAAAAAAAACATTCTAATTTTTCATTTCTGATCAATTGTATTTTGGTTGTTGTATGACATGTAATTTTCTTTTTTCTTTTTCCCTTTTCTTATGCAATAATGATATGCATGAATGAATTATATTTTCTTTTTTTCTTTCTGCATTTTATATTTTCGTTGATAAACTTTTTTTTTATTTATGCAAAGATGTTGTTATGTTTGGTTGATGTTGTTCAAAGTTTCATTTCATTTTTTCCTCTCGTTTCTCAATATATTGGGTTAGGTTAAGTTTGTTTCGGTTTTATTTTTTGCAATTTCTTTGCTGAAATTAACGCCTTTTATTTGCAACTATTTCAACATTGTTGTTGTTGTTGACGACATTGTAATTCTTTTCTTCTTTTTTCATTATTTTTTAATTAATATTTTTTTCGTTTCGGGTATAATTTGAATATAAAATGATTGTACACATAGTGTTTTTAGTGGAAAATTATCACCAAATTATATACAGGGTGGATATAGGATTAATATGAACATCACCAAAAGTGACCAAAAAGAAATGAAAATCCATCCCGACAAGTAATGCGGGGAGAAGAAAAGGAAAATTTTTCGACAATTTTCATCAAAATACACCATCTTCTTTGTCGTTGTTGTGCAGGTGTTGATTGATTAAACTTTAGGTGATCCTGATCATCATCAATTTTCGCTTTAAAAATTATCATATTATCCGTTTTAAATTTGATTTTCTTTCTGAAAAAAATACCTTAAAAAACGAAAAAAAAATTAACAAATTAAGCCAATTGACTTTTCGGAAAAAAGAAAAATAAAGAAAACGAAAATGTTGCTTGATACGAATGTGACTGATGACAGGCAACGGCGAATTTAAATTTCCAAATGATGATAATGATAAACATTTTGAAAATCTAATTCAATTTTTTTCAAATTCAATGCTTGTCATCACTTGGATAGAAAAAAAAATTTAAAATTTAAATTTCATTTGACAAATCCCTGCTGTTTTAGTTTTAAATCTTGAACTTTTTTTTGAGCTTATTTCAATGATATTTTGAAGAAACAAAAAACTGTAATCTAAAAACAGTGTAACGTTTTTTTGTTTCTTCAGTATTTTCAGTAAACATGATTGCCAAATGGATTTTCATTGATAAAAGATATGAGCGTGGGTGTTTGATGTTTGAAAAAATTTTGAAAATTTTTTCAAAATTTACCGATTTTTTACAAACTGATCCGTGTCTATTTCCACACACACTTGGTAATCAATCATTTTGGTTCAAACGGTTATTTTCTATTTGATCGTTTAAGTGATAAACGATGATAAGAGCATGTTCGTTTATCGTGGATCAAGCCAAAAAAAAACTTTTAAAGATTTTTTGTTGCGTGGTTGATGTTTTTTCATTGAATTTTAAATTAAAATTAAATTATTTATCCTGTCGAATAACATTATCCTTATCATCGGGATGTTTATGGGATTTATTTATCTTTTTTATTTTCGAAACTTTTTCCGAAAAGTTTCTATTCGATAAAAAAAATGGATTCATTGATGATGGGGCTACCATTATCATCATTATTTTGAGTACTTTTTTTCTTCAAGAAAATTGATAGCATCAATAAAAAAAAATTCTGGAATTTTTCGATGGGAAAAACCCTTTTTTATATTTTGTCGCATTATCTTGTTTCATTCTGCACTTGAGTCGACTCGAATATCCGCAAAAATTCTCTTGATTTTGCGAAAACTTACAAAAAAACTTTTCGCAAAATTGAAATATTCTTTCTTTCGGTGTTTTCTTTCTTTTCCTGTTCATCATCATCGGTTACATATTATTAAACTGACAATTTACTCTTCTTATTATGTATAATTTAATCCTTTGACTATAAGGCCATTATCATCATCATCATAATGATGATCATCATCATTTTTTGAACTTAATAAAATCCTAAAATAATGTTTATCATCATCATTATTATGATTGTTTCCTATGTTTGTGTAGTGAACAAACAATAAGAAAAAAATCTTTTTAAAAAAGTCAGAATAATTGTCTTCGAAATATAATCAACATACACACACGGGGTTATTTTCAATTTCACGGAAAATTTCCTAACATACAACACAGAATATGGTTCAATGAATTCTGTTGAATGAAACAGAAAAAAAAACGGTAATTCATTTTCATTTTCAGTTGTTTGTAAAAACGTTTTGGAAAATTTCCAAAACAAAGAAAATTACATAAATATTTTTTTGTGACTTTGTAACTCTCTCTTTCTCTGTATTCGTTTGTTTTTGTTTGTATAACGGAAAAAAAGTTAAGAAAAAAAGATTCACCTACGCATTTACTGTTTGTGTTTCGGCTGGATTTATGGATGCTTATGAGGATTACCAAACAAACAAACAAACAACAAGTAGCCCTTTAAACTTTATTTTTTGATTTTTGATTTTTGAATTTATTTACTTTTGTTTCATAATGATCATTAATTTTATGTTTATCGTGATTTTTTTTTCTCCATTGATTAAATCATTTTTTTCATGACGACGAAGATCCTATCGTAAAAATGAAATTTTACTTAATTATTCCGTCAGAGTAATTATTTTTGAAATGAAGTTTCGATATAGGATTTTTTCTAATTTTAAAGGAAAAATTTTCAAACCTAAAGCCAAATTTTTCACAAATTGCATCGTTGTTATCGATTTTTCGTTATCAGAAAAACAACATTAAGTAATTATTGAATGAGATTGACAAATAATAATGATGAAATGAAAAAAACTTGAAATTCAAAAAAATGACCATAAGTAGACATAAGTTACCTGTATTTTAATTGCCGTGTAAATATAATTATCATCAAGCATTAAAAACAAAATCTTTTCATCCATTCTCCAATTAAGTGATTTTTTTTCGCTTTCAATCCACAAACTTATTTTATTTTATTTCATTTCTAGCATTGTTTCAAATCAAGAGAAAGTGAATGAAAAAGATAGAAAGAAAAAAAAGATGATGAGCACCATCGTTTTATCGATCTTAATTTATAATGTCTGTGTGTGGGTTGATGATATTTTCTTTCTTTCTTTCTGTTTTGTTTGTTTGAATTAATTCCAATTTCATCATTTTCGCAAGTTTGACCGTTGGTCGTATATGCCGTAAGGATCCAGAAAAAATTTTCAACATACACACACACACACACAGATATAACGATTCGGACAAACAAATTATTATCATTAACATTGGATTAAATAGGGCCAAACCATCATCATCATTTGTAATCATCATCATTTTTGATTATCAATTCGTCCATTTAATCTTATTTGTAGTAGTTTTTTTTTGGTGCAAAAAAGCCTATCATTATGATGATGATGGTAGTGAAATCAGTTGGAATAATGGTAATTTTTTGTAGTTTTCTTTTTCTTTTTTTGATCTCCAAAAAAACCATTCAATAGTTTTTTTTTTGGAGATTTGCATTTGCATTCCATTTGCCTGATTTGTGAATGAATGGAATGAATTAATTCAAATTGAAGAGAGAAGGAGTGAAGAAAATTTGAATCACCAAATCATGGTTGGTTGGTTGGTTGGAAATTTGATACGGATCAAAAGTAGTGATGATGATTATGATGAAACATTTTTTTTTTCTGTAACAAAAGGGCTACCTAATTTTTTCATCATTATCATCATCATAAATGATGTTTATCAATACAGCTGCTGCTGTTTTTTTTTGTCAGAAATGTTTTATCATCGAAAAATGAAAAATGAAAATTCAAAAGCCGATTAAAAAAAGCGAAAATTCATCATCTTCTTTTGGTACTGAAGAATTTTTCAAAAATGTATCACATTTTGTTCCTTCACTTCACTTCATTCAACCAGAAAATTTACTTTTTTTCTCTCTCACTTTTCACTCTCGTCTAATGGGAAAACATTATTTCTTTTTTGCATCAATTTTCAGTCACTTGATATCCATTGAATATTGAACTTTTTTCTTTCCTCCTCGTCGTCGTTATAATGTCACCCAAAATTTATATCATTACTACATCATCTGCAGTATCTGGTTGATTCAGATGATTAATTATCATCATCTGAATCATCATCATTCACGCCAATATCGTTATTCATTTATCGTCATTTAAATAAATAAATATCACCCAATAAAAAAATTACATTCGCTTGAATTGCCTGAATCATCGATTGATTGATATTGATTGGTTTTTCAAATAGCTTCTCGATGAATTTTTTTTCTTTCTTTCGCCCATTACATAACCATTGGGTGATTGTTGTTTGTTTCGATATGGGCCACCGAATCAATGATATAAATCATCATCAGATTTTGGATTTTTTCGTTGATTTTGGTTTTTGAAAAATTTATCCAAGGTCGAGATTTATTCATAAAATATTCAGCCCCTGACAAATCGTAATTATAATGATGATGATGACAGTGACCAGTGACCATGAACAGATGCTGGTTTTGGTTAAAATTTTTGGTTAAAATCTCACCTGGTGATAATCAATAATAATTTTTTCCTTTTTTTTCGTCGTCGTCGTTGACCTATGAACCTAAAAAATCTGTGATCTGTCCATTTGAATTTTGTCTAATTCAAATTTTCGACTGCTGCTGATGCAAAAAAAATCACCATTTTAAATGGATAATGCATATGTGTGTGTGTGCACAAGGAATTTGATAGCTTTTTCTGGTTTCTGCTTTCTTGGTTTCACTTTTCTCGTTTCGTCTATCTTAATTGTTTAATCTTCATGAATCTATCACACTTTTTGTTGTTGCTATGTTTCAAACAAATTCTAATGGTGTTTTTGTTGTCTGTTTTTTGTTTTTCTTTTTTAAAAATGTAGGCTTCGGCTAAGGAGACAACAACATTATCGATGACGACTACGACGACGGAAACATCTTCGCCATTAATACAATCATTGACCAAGCCTAGTTTAAAGCATATGTTTTTGTCACATAACAATGATAATGATAATCGACAAAAAATGAATGGCAATCAACGACATTCAACGGAGGATTTTCTACCAGAAGGTAATGTTGATGACGATGATGATGATGATGATTTGCATCAAGAGAATGATGGTGATGAATTAGATCACGAAGAAGACGAAGATGAAGATGATGATGATATTGAAGGCGAAGAAATTGCCTATGAAATTGATGCTGATGATGAACAAAGTAATGATATGCTTGATGATAATACCGATTATGATGATAGAGATGATGAAGATGATGGTCCAAAATCAACTAGTCCTGGACCAGTTGCACCAAGATCAAGTGTGACGAAAATTGATCCATCAACAAAATCAATGATTAAAGTTGTTTCAATAATGAAAAATCATTCAAATTCGAATCATCAGAATCAATCACCAAAAACAATAACATCATTTATAAATGAAAAAATGAAAGAATTACCACCATCATCAACAACAACACAACAACAAGAATCCGAAGATTCAGCTGCTGATGTTAGTTATGAACGTACTACAAGTGATTTAGCTGAATCTGATTTAGAAGATACAACAACACTTACTACTGTGGATACTATGAATGCTATTACTAATCTACAAGATAATATTAAAGAATTATCATATGATCAAAGATTTAAAATGACACAAACAATTTGGTATTTACCACATATAAATCGTGCAACTGTTGTACATTATCTTCAACGTAAAGCTGTCGGTGTTTTTATTGTAAGTCATTTGATTTTGATTTGTTTTGTATCTTTTGATTAATTTCTGTTTTTATTTCATTTTTTCCACAAACAGGTTCGACAATCAAGTAAACCAAATACAATGGCTGTATCGGTACGATTACCACAAGGACGTGGTCCACATGTTGAACATTATTTGATTGAAAAAATTTTCAAACAACAACCAGTTCAATCAAATCAACAATCAAAATCAACAACATCAGTTTTTCGCCTGGAAGGATCTGAACATTATTTTTCAACAATATTACAACTAGTTTTACATTATTCAAAATGTCAAGATGAATTACCCGTACAATTAACATTACCATCAGTTTTATTAAATTCTAATCGTAGTCATTTAACATCATTAGCATTATTAGGACAAGAATTTTGGCAATCAAAATTTGTTTCCCTAAAACAATTACCAAAAAATTCACTGAATAATGAAACATTGGCAATGATTAATCAGAATCAACAGAAATCAGAAGAATCACAACAAAAACAACAACAGCCAACAACAAAACAATATAATCGACAACAAGCACGACGTAATAATTCAAATTCAAGTGAATCAAATCAATCAAATAAATCATCATCAATGTCAATGTCACCAAGACCACCATCATTTGATGTTCGTTCACGTCGAAATACATCTACAGATTCAGCATCACCACCAACAACAACAACAAATAATAGTCAAAATATCATTACATTATCAACACCACCACCTTTACCTCCAAAAAATCCATCAATGATTTGTGATCCACAAAATGTTGTAGCAAAAATAATTACCGAAAATGATTCTAATCATCATCCGATATTATCATCATCATCACCAACAATAGCAACTACATTGGTTGAAGTACATAATAATCAACAACAACAAATATCATCTAGATTACCACCATCATCATCAAATCGATTGCCAAACGCATATGTGCCTCCACCAATACCACCTCGTAATAATCGTAATTCACCAAATGGTTCAACACCACCACCACCACCACCACAAAAGCCACCATTGCCTTCTAATGGTCCACCATTATCGAGTCTTCGATCGAAAAAACCACATTCAAATCAACAACAACAACAGCAAAAAGTTTCTACATTAAACGAATTGCTTAGCCCTATGTCAATGACAGAATCGGAAATTGAAATGGCAAAATTTTCATTACAACGTAAAATTGCACCAAATATTCTGGAAGTTGATGAATATGATGATGATGATATTTCCAATGAAAAATCATTAATAAATCGAAATTATTATAATCAAATGATTAATCAGGCCACATCATCACCGATCATTATTGAAGATGATGAAATTAAAAATCAAAAAACACCATCGCCTGCACCGGCACATGCAATTGCATCGTTTCCATCTCATCATTCCGAACAACTATTACATTCATTACCGTGTGATGTTCAACAATCAGTTAAATGTGATGTTTGTACACAAACTTATGATACGAATAAAAATTTACAACAGCCACAACAAAATGGTCGAATAACACGTGCCAATTCATCGTTATCATGTTTTTATATGGATCCAATTGATGCTTTAGTTGCTATTAATCAACAACAACAACAACCAAAACGTCATTCAGATCCAGAATTAGCAAGTAAAAATAGTCAAAATACAATGGATACATTGGAAACAAATCATCAACAACAACAATCAACATTTACAATGAGTCATTCATTAGAAAGTTTATTGGAAAATTTTCGTCATCGTTTTGCAACAGCAGCTAGTGGTTCAGAATTATATTCAATTCGTGAAACTATTCTAAACGAACGACGAAATCAATTTATTCAACAACAGCAACAACAACAACAAACGAATGTTCCAAAACATGATACTGGATTTTCAACTGTTGATAGTGCTTGGCAATGGCATTCTGTTGTTGGTCAAAATGATCATAATGGTGGTATCATCAATCGATCAGCAGCAGCTCAATTGGAACATTTAAAACGTTCAAGTATAACGACAAATGGTTCAATGAAAAGTGATATAACAACTGTCGAAGATTTGATTAGTGCTAAAGCACCGGAATTAGCCGTACCGAAAATAACACATATTGATTCAATCAATATGATTCATAAACAACTTGTACAACAAGATCAACAATGCTGTAATAATAATGATCGTGAACGTAAACTAACAGCAAAATCCATTGCAACCGATGTTTGTACTGAATTTTCCGAACCATGGAATAGAGATATTGTTGAATCACTTTTTATTTCAGAACTTCATCAAGGTGATATACATCAACAATCAAATCATCAAATTGATGATTATGATGATGATAATAATTCAACAAGACAATTGCTCAATAATGATCTCATTAATTTTAATTCCTTCCTATTAAATCAAGAACAACATCTACATGGTGGTGTTGGTTTATTATCACAAACAAATGAAGATGATTATGATAGTGTTGCTGAAGATGAAATCATTGATGATTCATTAACTACAAATAATCATCAAGGTCAGTTTTTTAAACGTGATGATAGCCAAATTACATTAAAAGATAAAAATCAACATTCATCAACAACGGATGATGGTATTAAATTAAACATTGCCTTCAATATAAGTAATTATGTTTTTGAATTGGCATCACGTAAAGATAATACATTTGCTAAATCGATTGATAATTTTATTGAATGTACTAAAGAAACGACTGATCCAAATCCTAGCGTGTAAGTTTGTTTAATTAATCTTGTTTTATCTTGATTTTTAATTTTTTCTCTTTAATTCTTTACATTTTTTAGAATCCTTGGCTACGTAAGACAATTTATGAATGGAATGAAAAATTATCTTATCAAACATGGTGAAGGTGATTTTATTAACGTTGTCCAGAATGAACGAAGTCGTTTGAAACCAAATCAATTTCTGAATATTGATTCAATACTAGAAGTTTCATTACAAAAATTGATTATAAAACCATTGAAAAATTTCCTTTATGAACTATTTATTCGTTCACACACAATGTCTGGTTCATTGAAAATTTTATCAACAAATATTAAATTGGCACAGAATAAATCGCCAGAAGAATTAGGTATACGACCAGAATTATTACCAATTGAACCAAGAATTATGGCTGAAATACAGAAAAATCTACGACGATTACAACAATCTTATTCACCGATCAAAAAATTGGAACATTTATTAAAATGTATTGCTATTTTGAATGGAAATTTTAAGGAAAAATTATCAAAATTCGATGGTGATAATAATAAACAACAAAAAACTAAACAATCCAAATCAAATCGAGCTTTTAATGGTGATGATTTATTACCAATGTTAGTCTATCTGATTGTTCATTGTGGTGTTATTTCGGCTGAAATTGAATCCGAATATATGCTTGGATTATTACATCCATCAATTCTAAATGGTGAAGGTAGTTATTACCTGACTGTTTTATCCAGTGCTATACAAGTATTGAAAACAATGTATACAGCTGATAATGCAAGATCATTGGAAGATATTATCACTTTGAATGGTAATAATACGAATGGACAATCATCATTGTTTTCAATGTTACGATCACAACCATCGGAAAATCTTCAACGTCAAATGAATTCATCAAATAAGATAATGAATGGAAAATCATTGGCCACTACTATTGTTACATCGAATCCATTAGCATTACCATCAATAGCTAATATGCAAGCATATATGAAAATTATGATACCAAACGAGCTTACATCGATTATTACTTGTAAAACAGTTCCAGTACGACATAATATGACAACCAAAGAAGTTTGTCGTATGATTGCACATACATTTCGTATTACAAACCCGGAAGATTATTCATTATATCGTATCAAAGAAAATGGTTTAGAAGAAATACAATTATTAGATAATGAATATCCACAAGTAATCAAATCAGAATTAATGGCAAGAAATGAATCAACAATGTTTGCCTACAAACGTTGTGATGCTAAATTTATTTGGCCAATTACTAGCCCAAATTAAAAAAATATTTATATTTGTATTTTGTAATTTGTTTCTCTTATATCTTTTTAAAAAATTCTCATTATTTTTTACTCATTTTAACCACTTGTAACTCATCATCATCATCATCATCACAATAAACAAAATTCAAAACAGAAAAAGAAAATAGTTTGATTGTGCTAGTCAACGTGTTGAAAAAAACGAAAAAAAACGGGATATCATTTTGTTTCGAAATCTCATTATTACAGTCAATAAATTCAGAACAAAACTAATTATCATCCATAATAGATAGCGGGAATTTTTGTTGAAACTCTTTTTTCCTCTCTCTTCTTTTTTTCTATTATTATTGTCCTCAATGTTTTGTTGATTAATTTATATACTGGATAAATAAATGAAAATTTTGGTTCATTTTGAAATAAAATATGATTGAATTTTGTTTATTAAAAAAATTTTTGGCGCTAAAATCATTCAAAAACTTTAAATATATTTTTTGGCCATTTTTTCAAATACGTTATTTATGAAGAATGCTTTCGCCGTGTTTTTTTTTTGGTTGTGCTCGAATCTCGTTGAATGTGAATTAACTCTCGGCTGCTTGTCGGCCGCGTTTGTTCTGGTCGGCTACGGCTCCCCTTTCTTTTTTTCGCTCAGACAAGATTCTCTTTCGTCAACATATTGTTTTCGACTCATTGCATTGTTTTTAGTTGCAAAAACAAACAAATTTTCCCGGCATAAATTTTCTCCATTTTTTTGTCTGATGTATGAAGGCGAATTCAAAGTGTTCCTATTCATTTTTTAATTAGAAAAAAAGAAACAAAACAAAATTCTCAATTATGGCGAATGATGAAGAATTGATGCGTGCAGCTAAAAAATTAGATAAAATAGCCGTTCGTAAGGATACTTCGGTATGTAAAAAAGAATTTAGCAAATGAAATTTATTCATGTTTATATCGTAAATAGAGCGCTTCACAAGCTGTTGACATTTTAAAAGCATTACAACGAATGAAAATAACATTGGATCAGATACAGAAAACGAATATAGGCAAAATTGTTAATCATCTACGTAAATCGATACATGATGAAGAGATTAGTTCATTATCAAAATCATTGATTAAAACATGGAAAAAATTATTAAATGAAAAAGATGGTAATAATGGTGGTACTGGTGCAAACAACAACAACGGGAACAAAACTTCAAATGATAATGGAATATCAAATGATTCGATTGCTGAATGTAATGATAATGGTGGTTCAAGATTACCATCATCATCATCATCATCACAATCATCACCGAATATTAATGGTACAATAAATAATTCATCAAATTCAATTGGTGGCAACGGCAGTATTGGTGGTATAAATAAACGTCCACAACCACCTAAACAAACATCATTTCCATCTGATACAAATAATACTATCCGGCTTAAATGTCGTGAATTATTATCCAATGCATTAAAACCGGATGCTGAAATGGAAAAAGATGAAGCATTTTATGATGTTGAAATTTTAGCCGCCGAAATTGAAGATAATATTTATAAAGAATTTAAAGATACTAATCTTAAATATAAGAATCGTGTACGTTCACGTGTTTCGAATCTTAATGATAAAAAAAATCCTGATCTCAAATTGAATGTACTACGTGGACATATTAAACCAGAAAGAATTGCAATCATGACAGCCGAGGTTAGTTGTTGTTTCTTTACAATAAATTCTTGAATCTAATCCTTTGTTTTCTCTCCAGGAAATGGCCAGCAATGAAATGAAACAATTGCGACAAAAATTTACAAAAGAAGCAATCAATGATGCACAAATGTCATTGACAGGTGGAACTAAAACCGATTTGATAAAATGTCCAGCATGTAAAAAAAGCAATTGTACTTATAATCAGGTATTATCATTCGTTGAAATATTATTATTATCGTCATCATTTTTAACATTTTTTTTTCTTCATTACTTCACAAGGTTCAAACACGTAGCGCCGATGAACCGATGACAACATTCTGTTATTGTAATGAATGTGGAAAACGATGGAAATTTTGCTGATTGAAAATATTGAATGCAATTTGATTCAGATTTGTAGATGTCCAAATGATGTTAACATGATTTTATCCAGTCTGCCAACGATTTTTTTAAAAAAACAACATTGTCGATTCTTATGGTTCTTCGAATTTGAATTCATCATCATCATCATCATCATCATATAGTATCTTTTTTTTAATGAACAAAATGAATTTATTCTTCCTTTGGTCATCTTGAATTATTCATTCATTCAGAATATATGTTTGTATATCAAATATAATTAATTGCACTCTCTCATCTTATCCTATTTCGACAATATTAATTTTGATTTAAATTATATGTATTGTCTTGAATAAATCTAAAAGCATATATATTCTATACACACAAAAAAAATGTCCAAGTTGTAATTAATAGTATTTGGTTTTCGATCATATTCAGATATGGCAGATAATATTATTAGTTGTAATTCAAATCGGGGGATTATTGATTGGAAATTTTGATTGAAATTCGTTCACACACTATATTTTATAAATAAAATTAACCCTTTTTGTTCACTTAAACACGTCGTTTGAAATGTGTTAATGCACAGAATAAAAATATTAATAACCAAATAGTTGAAACAATGAATGCCGATGCTACACTTGTATGTCGTAGATCCCAATCACGTAACAATATAAATCTTAATGCATCGATCGATTGTGTTGATGGTAAACATTGACTTACATATTGTAATATGATAGGCATACTTTGTACTGGCCAAAATATACCGCCAATTATAACGCTTGGAAAAAATGTACCAATCGATAATGTTGTTGCATAGATTTCATCCGGACATGTTGCCGATAACATTAAACCATACATTAATCCACATAGGCCTTGTAAACAAATCAAACTTATTGATAATGGTAATGAACCTAAATATGGCATACGAAACAAATAGAATGCCGTTATGAATACTAATAATAATTGAACCATCAATATGGTTGATTGTATAAGTATATGACTGAATAAAAATTCAGCAGTTGTTGCGCCAGCTATCAACGCCCGTTCGATTAATTGTTGACGAATTTCATGTATAAGTAGATGACAGCTTACAATTGTTGTTGCAAAAAATGCAATCATAATCAATGCCCCAGGTGCTATAAATGTTTCAACAACGGCAACCGAAGTCTGTTGGATACCATAAACTGGTGGTCCAAATGCTATTGGTGGTTTAAATGTATGATTACTTAAGCCCATCGATACGGCCAAGCGTTGAGCAAAATTTAAAAATGCTGTCAATAATTGTCGTTGAATCTGAAGACCGATCAATTGATTTGACATATCCAATTGAACATAAACTGAACTATCATCCCAAATAGAAAATTGTTGTTGTTGTGATTTTGTTGAATGTTCTTCATCGTTGTTAACGTGATTATTATCATCATCATCAATGTAACCAAATGAAAAAAATCTTGATCGTAAAGCTTCACTGAAGCGTTTATTGAATTGTAAAACGGCAGCAGCTTGATTACTTTTAACTGCATCATATGCTTGTTTTGGGCTATCATAATAATGCAATATAAATGCATTAGGTTCAAAACTATCGAGAAAAACTTGACTTAAATCCGGTGTTGGACATTCACCATTAAAAACAGCAATCGGTATATGATTAATATCTCGACCAATACACAACATAATCAATGCCATTTCAATTGCAGGTAATAATATAAAAAATAACAACAATGACCAATTACGATAAACTTGACGAAAATTTTTCTGTACCAATGTCCAAAGATGTGATAGACAAATATAATGATTATTTTTGCTCGAACTACCATGATGACCATCATAATCATGTTTGTTGTTGTTGTTGAACCATTGTTGTGATTTTCGTTGATTTTGATTGTCAAATTCTTTTGAATGAATTCGTTTTTTGTTAATCGAATCATTGATGGTTAAATGATTATCCTGTTTTTGTAAATTAAAAAAAAAGAAATAATTAGTAAATTTTTCATTACCAAAATATTTTTTTTCGAAGGCTTAAAAATTTATTCTAAAACATACGCCATCTACCGTCACCATTTAATACTAATATTTTCAAACTTTTTTCCCCTCAAAATTCAATGAATGATGAATGTTGATAAATTCAAACCATCAGAATTTATTTGATTGTCAAAACATTTCCAAACACACATCAACAACAATAAAAATAAATAGAATAAACTCTTCAAATAACCATCATCGCCACAATTCACAATTGTGTGAATCAATTCGAACAAAAAAGAAAAACTTGAAAATTGAAAGCAAAAAAAATAAAAAAAATTCTGGTTTTCCGCTTCAGCTATTCTTTTTTTCAATTCCTATTTCTACATCGCTGCCACTATTGAACGGTGTGTGTGTGTGAAAAGAAAAACATTTTTGGACATAGTTTTTGGAAACATTTACATTCATTTCAGAGATGGAAAAAATGGTTTTTCCTTTTTGCTGAATTCTATTTGGAAAAAAGCTGATTTTTTTCTGTTCAAATAAAAGAACACGAAGATTGTGAAAACCGAAATCAACAACATTGGTGAATAATGAAAAAGAAAGGAATAAAAACCGATGAAGATGCTTGATGATAATGGTTAATGGTTGGCTGGTTTGGTTTGGTTTTGGTTCAAAACATAGAAATGGCCGGAAGCTAAATTAGTTTTCTGTGAAAAGAAAGAAAAATGAAATTTTCTTCTTCACTTAAATTCTCTGTGTTTGGTTTTTTCTCATTTAAAATTTTTCATTTTTGTCACAATATTTGCACTGACGATGATAATACAAAACGCAAAATACATGAATTTCATTACGGATAAAAAAAAAGAAAAACATGACCGATTCAAGGCAATCATCAAATCAAATCAAAACCAACAAAGAATAAATAAATCTGATTAGCTGGTTTCGTTCCCCCCTTTGAACAAGAAAAAAAATATTGAATTCAATTCAATTCAATCATCACTTTCATTCTGGAGATTGAAAAAAAAGCTGTTTTATCATCATCATTGTGAAAAAATATTGTCAATTTTGGTAAAAAAAAGCTAATAATAATAATAATTTTTCTGTTCAGCTGGTTGATTGGCTAGTTCCCTTGTGGGAATTTCGTTTTTTTTTCAATTTAAAATTTTGCTGATAAAAATTGAATGAAAAATCAAATTTTTTCATTTTCATTTCTGTTATTGTCAAAAAGCTTTCAATATTTACCGCTTTTATAATTAAATTTTCCTGATTTTCACTCGGGATGTTAACGATGTTGTTATTGACGTTGTCGTCGTTGATGAAATTTATGGCCACCATTTTTTTTGAATTTGATTGAATTTTCGTATCGATTTGATGATTTTTTCTATTATCATCGTTATTGTTATCATCGATGACAATCGAACTGATTGTTGATGGTGATCGTGATTGAATCAATTCATCATATTGATCATCATGATAATGACATAATTTTAGAAATGCTGCTTCCATTGTATCCACACGAAAACGTCGTAATAAACGATGTGGATGATCTTGAACCAATAAACGACCACGACGTAAAAATCCAATTTGATTTGCATGTCGAGTTTCTTCAATATAATGTGTTGTTAGTAAAACTGTTCGTTTTTTTACCGTCGTTAAATAGATTAAATGTTTCCATATTGATTCACGTAATAATGGATCAACACCAACGGTAGGTTCATCCAAAATTAACAACCAAGGATCATGCAGCAAAGCTATGGCTAATGAAACACGACGTCGTTGACCACCACTTAAATTTCGAATCAATTGATTCCGGTGGGAACAATCAAAATCACCACCATCTAATTGTAAAAGTTTCAATAGTTCATCAATACGTTTTCGACATTTGTCACTTGAAATACGATATAATCGTCCAAAATATTCCAACATTTCATATGTTGTAAATTCATGATACAGAACAATATCCTGTGGCATATAGCCAATATTTTTCAAATATGATGGTGATTGTTCATCGGGGTTAATTTCCTGACCAAAAACTTTAATCAAACCATTTGATGGTGATATTTGTCCAAGTATCAAACGCAATAATGTTGTTTTACCACAACCAGATGCACCCAATAGGCCATAGATTTCAGATTGATAAACATTCAATGAAATATCATCCAAAATAGCTGTTGTTGTCGTTTCATCAACTGTTTTATTCTTCTTATTCTTGAAGAAATATTTAAATCTTTTCTCATAACGAAATGTTAACGAACACAATTCAAGAATTGTTTGATTCATCATCATCAGTCGATCCACATTCATTGATCGATTCAGAACAAATGAAATGAAACCACCGAGAATCAAAACAACCAAAACAAAAATCAATCAATCTAATTGATTAACACCTTGAACGAATTTCGCTTTGCTTTGATCCAAATATTGAATGAAAAAATGGGTCAATTTCTGTGTTTCAGGATCAAAAATTTAATCACAATAATTCATTCATTCATTCATCATCATTTAAATTTAGCTAAATATTTTTATACATTATTTTAGTGGCAATAATAATAATAATAATGATTGAAGAAAATGAACCAATCTTCAACCTCTTCTTTGTAGCATTTCATCAAATTGTCCACTTGACTGTTGTTGTTCAACTTGTTGTGATGGTGGCTTTTCAATTTTACCCGTTGTTGTTTCTGGAAATGGATCGAATGAATATTCATTCCAACGAATTTTAACCGTTTCTTTTGGTTGTGGCCGTTGTAATGGTTCTAATGTTTGTTCAACATTACCACTACAAACAGTAACAGCATTTGTTTGTTTAATATCTTTTTGTTGATCAAAATGTTCTTTTACAATTTGATTACCTTCCAATGGTTTTGGTTCTTCAACAGGTTGTGATTGATCATTAAAACGTAATACATAATGATCATAACCATTTTCTTTTACTTGTTGTTGTTCGGCCCATAATCGGATTGTACCCCAATTTTCGGGTAAATGCATTTCGAAAAAGCCACCAGCAGCCGGACCAGTTGGTTTTGGTTTTTCACTTGGTTTTTCCTTTGAACTACTTTTCGATGTTGATGATGAATCTGTTGTTGTTGTTGTTGTTGCTGATTTTTCATCATCGGATTGTTGAGTAGTATCTTCTGATATTGTTATTACTGTATTTGATTCGTTTGATGATAAATCAGACATTTTTTTCTTTTTTTTCGTTTCAAAACCTTTAAAATTTTCACATACACACAATCGCAATCAATAAATTAAGCTCAAACTAATCAACCAAACATAATTTTAAATTCATTTTCAATTGAATTGTTGTTATTTTATTTTACATTTTACAAATTATAATTGAATTAATTTGAATTAAAAAGTACAAAAAAAGCCAAAAATTATTTACAATTAATCATTCATTCATTATTATTATATTCTACAATCGATTTATAATGATATTTATAATCCAATTAGAGAGATCACTTGCTATATGTTTTTTTTATTGTACGTATTTTGAGTTTTTAAAAATTGTAAATAATAAAAATTAAAAACATTTGTATGCGTGTTTTGGAGGGTTTTTTTTAATCTTCAATCATCAATTTGGTCGCATCATTTGTTTGTTTAACATTATGCAATTCTAAGGCGAGTAT